TTTGTCTAGCCTGGACAAAAGTCTAGAGGCAGAGCACTTCTGAAAAGGGACCCTGCCCCCCTTCTGTGGATCCCATCCTGCTTCCTTCTTAGCGTGGGAAAGGGGAGGCGGCGGGCCTACTGCCACAGCCATAAGGGAGAAGAAAGGAGCAATCCGAAAGGAAAGGAGAATCAAAGAATCAAAGCTAAGAAAACTTCAAAGAGACACCGAACCCCCAAATGAATAGTTTTTCACATCTTTGTTTATCCCTTTGAAAACCCGATTCCCTAATACAGTGCCCCAGTTTTGTACTGGGTCTTAGCCCCTGTTAGCGCTTCGCTCTGTATGGATCTCAGTTATTTGGTGCATAAACAAAACGGATTCTAGCTGATTTAAGCTGAGAATTAGTTCATCAGAAGGCTGGGGACCTGGGCTCGGAAAATGCACAAGAACAGTAGGAAGGTAGGCAGGCAGCCTCGAACCAAAATCAGGCCCCCGAACCAACCTGGGGTGAGGCCTCAGCCAACAGGGCGACAGCATATGTACTGGGGACAGAATGCTGCTGCCGCCCCAACCTGCCCCTACCACCCACCTAAAGGAGCTTTCCCATCCCTGCTGGGAGCATCAGAATCCCAGAGGAGAGCACTGGCCACGTCTACGTTGCAGGTCCCCTTGCTCTTTCAGGCCTAAAGGGACCCTGTTTTGACAAGGCCTGGCCAAGCTCTTGCTACCTCCTGCTAGCTTTGTGGTATTGGTCTTCCTGCTGTGATGGGACTCCTGGCCTGCAGGCGACCTGTCATGTGAAATCCATTGGCCACCTTGCTATGCTTTGAGGTAGCACCCTGCAGTACACGGTTTGTTTCCCTTAGTAAAAGGAGACAAAAAATGAAACACAAAAACAAAACCCCCACACACAGCATGGGTCGTGTTTCTGGTAGTTTTGCCTCCTACCAAGATGCCTGTAGGGAAATTTCCCAGACACAGATTAATTTAAAAGTATCTGCATGCCCTCCCTTGGGGTGAAGTAGAGGGGGAAAAAGAGGTTGGAGCTGGTCCCCACAGCTATTAGATTGTCACAATTGTGGCCTCTGGTGACAGACTCGTGCTAGGGATGAAACGAGGTAACTCCTTGCACACTTCGTTAAGAAGTCCTGCTGAAATTCAGTCACACTTTAGTTCAGTGAATCAGACTGTTGTGCAAAGCAAGAGAAAATTCAGAGATGCAAATGCTCTCCTGTGAGAAGACACATAAAATGGACCATAACCTGTGATGGAGGTTAGCTTGAATGAGCCAGTGTGTGCCTGTGGGAATTCACGCCTTGTGATGAGAGCGGCAGCATCATTTCTGCTGGGACTGTCCAGGGTGGCTTCATTTCTTAAAGACAAAACCTGCTCCTTTGAAGTGAGGCTCACTGGCCGAGGAATGGGGAGCACGGACAAGGTCCCACAGATGGTGGCAGATGGTGGCAGATGGTAGCTGTCAGCGCGTCCCTGGAGTCAGGCACATGGGACAGGGTGTGTTTGTAGAATGAATGGAAGAGTGAGTTTCAGGTAGGGCTCAGCAGCACAAACAAGGATGGAAAAGCACAGCGACGCTCCTATACTGAAGGGGACAGACCAGATGAGGCCTGCTGTAATGGACCTGCTGCCAACAGGTAAATGAGGAAAATCTCAAAAAAAAAAAAAAAATGAGGAAAATCTCTCCATCTGAGAGATGGAGAAAACACAGAGGAAAAGGGGCTGTCCAGAGGAGACCTGGCACTTAGGACACAGCCAGGGATGAAATGATTCATCTCCATGATGGACTGAAGCGTTGTATCCCCCAACATTCATACATGGAAGCCCTAGTCCCCACTGTGATGGTGGTTGGAGACTTTGATAATTAGGTGTAAGGGTGGAGGCCTCATGAGTAGGATTAGTGCCCTTAGAAGGCACAAGAGGGCCCCTGGGTGGCTCAGTGGTTGAGCATCTGCCTTTGGCTCAGGTCGTGATCCTGAGGTCCTGGGATCGAATCCCACATCAGGCTCCCTGCAGGGAGCCTCCTTCTCCCTCTGCCTAGGTCTCTGCCTCTCTCTGTGTGCCTCTCATGAATAAATAAAATCTTAAAAAAAAAAAAAAAAGAAAAAAGAAGAGGCACAAGAAACCTCCCCTGTCCTCCGCCATGTGAGCACACAGCGAGAAGGCGGCCTGCTACAAGACAGGAAGAGACCTTTCACCAGAATGCAACCCTGTTAGCATCATGGTCTTGGTCTTCCCAGCCTCCAGAGATGGGAGATACAAATTTCTGATGATTAAGCTCCCCAGCCTATGGTATTTGGTCATAGCAACCCTAGCTACCTAGGACAATCTCTCTCCTCTGGCATCCAGAGAGTGGAGGTCTCATCTGTGTTCCTCCTCTTGCTGTGCATTCATTGAGCAAAATATTTGTAAAAGCACCTGCTCTGGTCCTGGCACTGGGCTAGAGGCTGGGTTCCAGAACTGCTTCAACAAGGCGCTATCTAAAAAAAAAATAAAAAAATAAAAAAATAAAAATAAAATAAATAAAAAAAGAAAACGGCAGCCCGGGTGGCTCAGCGGTTTGGCGCCTGCCTTCAGCCCAGGGCGCGATCCTGGAGACCCAGGATCAAGTCCCATATCAGGCTCCCTGCATGGAGCCTGTGTCTCCCTCTGCCTGTGTCTCTGCCTCTCTCTCTCTCTCTCTCTCTCTCCCTTTCTGTGTCTCTCATTAATAAATAAATAAATAAAAATCTTTAAAAACAAACAAACAAACAAACAAAACAATAAGGTGCTATCTGGTCAGGTGCCCTGAAGCGGGGATTTCAACCTGGATCCTACATGATGAGAAGGAGCTCTCGTAGGTCAGGTCTGGGCAGACTGCACAAGTGGGGCATGCTTGAGGAGCAGAAAGGAAACTGAGGTGACATGCCATTGTCCAGACTCACGGTGTGGAGGCATTGTGGGTACCAGGCAGAAAGCTGGGGTCTGCCGTTCTTGCACCCCCTGTGAGGGACAGGCTGCTGGAGTGGTTATGGGCACAGACTCCAGCCAGACAGCCAGTGTTCTAATCCCAGCCATGCCGCTTAGTCATTGTTCAGGTCTGGATTAGGCTTTTGACCTCTTTGTGCCTTGGTTTACTCACCTGTAAAATGGGAATAATTATAGCATCTACCTCAAAGGATTGGTGTAAAGATGGAAATACTCAGGAGAGCACCAACAGGTAGGAAGGGCTGCACAGGCCAGTCATCATCTTCACATTTGATGTCATTAGCCCTCCTTAGAAGTATTTATTGATTGTCCTTAAAAGAAACTCCTCAGAAACATCTCTGGCAGACATAAGACTGGTAAAAACAATACATTTCCTTTCACGCTAAGTGAGGACCTTGGCATGTCTTCCAGGTAGATTCTCTGGAATAACTCGACTTTTAAATGACATATTTGAAAATGAAGTTTATGAGGATTGAGTTCTTGATGACGTAAGTCCTAGATACATGCTCTTTGGGGCCATCAGCACCCGTTGTTTTCTTATCACATACTACAGCCAATTTTTAAAGTTGCTAATTGTGAGAACAGACCCAGAAATAGACCTCGGAGAAAGGTCTAGGAGTTGTCAAAGGAGAGAGCTGTGGGTGGAGAGACCAACTGTTTTCTAAGTGGTGTGGGCCTCGTAGTCCCAGAGCAGAGTCCTGAGCGTGAGTTGGAAAGTGGGGAGCGTTTTCTCCTCAGGGTGGGGGTGGCCTCTTCTTTCTCGTTTTCCCAGAGCTGAGCCAAAAGATCCCTTTACAGCCTCTTTGGGAATCCTGAGAGATGCCTCCCAGACAGAGTGTTTCAAAACAGAGCAAAGAATGAAGAGAGGATCAGATGTCTGTGCAGGGCCCAGGGGAGGATGGGGGGAGGGGGGCAGGAGAGAGGATGGGAAGCAGGGAAGGGGAAAGAAGGAAGAGAAGAGAAAGAAAGAAAAGAAAGAAAGAAAGAAAGAAAGAAAGAAAGAAAGAAGAAAGAGAAAGAGAAGGAACAGAAGAGGGGGAGAGGGAGGGAAGGAAAGAAGGAAGGAAAAATGGAGAGAAAGCCCAAGAGCATGAGAAGAGTCAAGAAAGGCAGACAGTATCAAATTACCTCAGGAAGTTCTGAATTGTTTTTATAACACAGAGATGAAATTCAGGAGTTTCTAATCAACAGAGAGTGAGCTCCATTTCTCTTCTCTTTGGCTTCCCTTCCCCTTTCCCTGGCTTTCTCTGCAAGGAAGGAAAAAGGGTGAGCAGAGTTTGGGGGCCATGGAAGGACAGGCACACCTCTACAAAGTCCCATCAGAGCAGAGGGTGGATTGGGGAGCAGCTGAGGCTCCTGCCCCACCTCCCTTTGTGAATCAAGGGGTGTCTGCCTTCCCCTACCCCAGCCCCAAATCCCCTGCCCTACTTTCCCTAATGGACACACACATTCCAAAGTCTCCAAAGGCTACCATTTCTATTGTTTAGCAATGTCCAAATAACACTGGCAAAGAAGTATGATGTACAATTAATAGGGTTAAAAATAGCCAAACAATTGTAATGCAACGGATTTTTAGTGTACCTGTAAAGAAATATAAAGTAATTTGATTATTGAGAGTCCCTCTGATTTGAAAAGTGATACATTCTACATTTTAAAAGATACAGCATAAGTGAGTCAAGAGTCTGGCTAATTCAATACATTGGGTTAAACTAGTTCAGAGTTTATTCCTGTTACAGACAATCACTTTTGAGCTTTAAGATATATTTGATTTGGGATCCCCGGGTGGCGCAGCGGTTTGGCGCCTACCTTTGACCCAGGGCGCGATCCTGGAGACCCAAGATCGAATCCCACATCAGGCTCCCGGTGCATGGAGCCTGCTTCTCCCTCTGCCTGTGTCTCTGCCTCTCTCTCTCTCTCTGTATGACTATCGTAAATTAAAAAAAAAAAAAAGGTATATTTGATTCTTTCCATCCACAATCTCCCTCCTAGGTATGGGAACATAATAAGCGGCACAAGTAGCAAAGATTCTTAGAGAACTGGGTTTCTTTTTTTTTTTTTAATTGAATTATTGATTTTACCAGAACTTGTTTCCAGAAAGAAAAAGAAAAAAGAAAAAAACTTGTTTCCATGACATTTAAAAAAAACATGGGTCTAATGCTTTCATGTGGGTCATCTTGATTCTCTTAACAACCTTTTGTTACAGTAGGAAAAGCAACAGAGGATCAAGGAGGCTGACAGTTCAAGGTGCCATAAATAGTAAATTTAAAAGCTGAGGCTTAAAGCGGGGCCTTTGGCACCCCACCTAGCCCACTGGAATGAGCATCCTACCATGTTGTAAATTGGATTTCTGTGTTGAAGAATACAGTCGGTGCCATTTCAAAAGTGTATTATTTTACAAGTCAATTTTGCAAGGCACTCCTTCACATTTTCCAGTATTCTTCATAATTTCCATGTACTTATAGTCTCACCCACATATAATGTTAAAGAATTCAGGTAACCTCAAAAAAAGTGGGAAAGATATTTCAAAACTGCCCCCCTGCTGTGCTTTTCAAGGCAGCTCAATAGTTCAATTTAAATAAGACTTTCATTTTTTAAAAACTCTTATTCTAGAAAATTAGACCAAAACTAAGTTCTTCATTCTACTGTCTAAAATCTAACTTTAGTCTTGGTTGGGGGGTGGTGGGGGGGAAGGGAGAAAGAAAATGAGAATGGGAATATACTGATGTCATGAGCCCAGAAAAGTAAAATCGACATGGCAATCTTGTCTTTGTCTATTTGCCTCTCTTCTTCATTTCTATTCTTTAAGCCCAGCAGAGCACCCAAACCTAGGAGGTGTCCCTGCCTGAAGACTCATCCTTGGGCCTGAACTCATCCATCACCCCAAGTGGGTATACTAAGTAATAGGATCACCAGAAGATCCAGCTAAATCAGCATTTATAATCTGATGTAACATCTGTCCTGGAGAATAAAGTTCATGGAATCAGATAACCTTATAAATTAACCACAACACACAGACCTCAGATTTTTAAAAAAATGTGTGTAGGAATCCAACCTAAAACTACAGCACATGAGCAACAAGAGTTTGTCCATTGCAGCTATAATTACAATTCATAATATGCTCAGTCTCCACCTGCTTACCACAGCCTTTATGCAGCAAGTGAGAAAATCAGTTGTGGGAAAGGGTCCGAGAGGAATTAAGACTTCAGCATATCCTCAAGTGTTGATAGAATTGATTAAACCGGTGAGACCATATATACCTTTTGGGTTTGATGACTACAGAACTTTGTGAACCATACGTCGATGTCTTATTCAAAGGTAGGTGCTCACTAAATATTTGCTGAATGAATGAGTGAATGTATAAAAGGATGAATGCATATTGCAAAGAAATTTAGGAATTCGAACATGGCCAGAAGAACACAAGTCCTGCTCAAGTCCTGCTCCAACAACTCATCCAATCCAATCTTCCTGCCATGTCGAGTAGAGATCCATTCATGTCATGTTCCTCTCTGGTTAGAAACAGGAACCACGGGCCCCTTTGGAGTAGTGCCGAAACAGATGAGAAATGGAAGAGCAAGGAAATCCTAGAGCCTCGCTTTCATTTTTCACCTAGTTTCTTGACTTCCAATGTTTCTGCTTATTAAACAGGAAAGAAATTAATTGTTTGTAATTTTCAAAACACTTGCATGTGAACTCATTCCAGACACAGACAGCTTTAAAGGCAAAATCACTAGAGGTTATGTGGTGTACAGGGCCTAGTTACCAAAGGAGGTCACATAAAAATTAAAAAACACTACAGAATAAATAGTCCATGTTGTCCAGGGGGATGAGCAATGCAACCCAAGTAAAAATTAAAACCAAACTGCATACACTCATCAGCATTGCATAGCACATCCGACTCGCTCGCAGACAACGCAATCCCTCCTGACAGGTGCTGTACTCAGTGCACCCAGCTGAGTTAGTGTGTCTCCAGGGACCTAGGGCCTTGGGCTTTCTCCCTATGCGTTGGCTGTGTTCCCTTATGACCTTGAAGGCAAATAAACAACCCTTCACAGCACCTTAGACTATGCACATCTCAAATAAAAGCAATACGGATCTGTGCGTGGCTAACATTCAGGCCCCCTCACGTGAACAAGTAACCATCTGTCCCAGGTCAGTGCTCCATTTCTAGAACACTGGATCTGATCTTGTGTTTTCGGAAATCGCATTTGCTTTATGCTATATAAAGAATTCTTCTTCTTCTTTTTCTTCACCCTGGGCTGGCAGGTGAAGGGGACATTTTGAGATTATCTTCCTTGCCCCAAGATCCTTTTGGCCTGCAAGTGACAAAGAATGGATCCTTTCCTTAAGTGTTCTATTGTTCATGGAGGCGGTTGCCCCTACGGAGGAGTCTGGCAGGCAGGATGGTGGGTGGCTGGTCCGGAGACCCCTGGAAAATCTGCTCAGAAAAGACTGCCGGGGTTCAGGATTGACCACAGTGCATCCCGTGTCAACATTCGTTTCTGCCTCCAGCTCCTCAAAGCTGTTTTGCGGGCTGAGGATCTTTTCTCTGGCCCCAGGTTGGAGGTGGGGAGAAGGCAGGTGCATCTGGGCCCCCAGGGCTGAGCTCCTGTCCTGGGATGAGCAGCCAGGGCTTTTCCCAGAAGTGCCACTAAAGCTGTCTGACACAGGGCTCTCGCCAGACTCCGGGCACTGCAGGGAACCCACCTGGAGCTTCCGGGCCCGGCTCCTTCGGCATCTTGGCTCCAAGGTCCTCCTTGTGGAGACAGGGATCAGCCTGGAGCCCTGGGGAAGTGTGTTGGCTCCCACGGTGCCGTTCAGGAAGGAAAGTTCACCATTCTTAACCCCAAGTCCTGGATTCAGTTGGACCTGAGGGACGAGGGAAAAAGAAACAAATTCAATAGATGTTTTCCATTAACTAAGTGCCAAGAACAGGCCATGTCCCATTCATCCTCTGCCATCCTGTGCCCACAGCAGACTTTCAATAGAACCAGTTGAAGCGAAGCAGTAAGTACAATGTAATCAGGCGAGGTATCAGTATCAGCTCCAGACCTCTCTCTCTCAGAATCCCTAAACTAACATTTGAGAAGACGAAGAATCTGAGAGTCAAATGCAACGATATAGTTCCCATAGATCATGTTCAAAATATGCAAGATGTTCACAGACGTTACTTGGTGGCCTCACTTGAGGTTGCAAATAACTTATTACCAACTATGCAAAAATAAAAATAAAAAGCCACCAAAACATGTGGTTATAGTCAAGATAAAAACTGGAATAAGAATTCAATCTTTCAAAGTCCTTTTTACATCATGCTAATGATATACATCTTGAGCTATTGCGAGACATGTGGGCACTCCAGGCAGACTCATAATCAGACACCTTCTAAGTCAATATTCTTTAAATTTAGGGGCACCATTTATTTCTAGTATAGGCTATATATAGTGGTATGTGGCAAAACAACAAAGAAATGAGGGAGACTGCCTATGTAGGAGCAGTGGTGTCTTCTTAATCCCTAGCCATTCCATTCTGGCTTTATTTTTACTTTTTTAAAGATTTTATTTACTTACTCATGAGAGACTCAGAGAGAGAGGCAGAGACATAGGCAGAGGGAGAAGCAGGATTCCTGTGAGGAGCCTGATGTGGGACTCGATCCCAGGACTCCAGGATCACGACCTGAGCCAAAGGCCGATGCTGAACCACTGAGCTACCCAGGTGTCCCTCCATTCTGGTTTTAAACTTAGAGACCCTACTCAGCAGAACTGCCACTCTAGAGTTAAGTGCTCTTTCCCTCCACAGACTAGATTTCACTGGCCCATCTTCCATCCTTGGCCTCTTGGGAGCCTCATCCCCTACTCATTATGCAAAACTCTTGCCCAGGAGATTTCTGGAAAAGACAATTTTCTCTATCTTGTCAGTAACTCTTAGAAATTGGTATCCAGGATCCACCCCTGCCTGGCCCAGTCCTTAATCAAATATCAAAAAGGATGGTACAAAAGAACCTTAAGTGCATATACTGAGTGAAAGAAGCCCATCTGAAAAGTCTACATACTGTATGATTCCTACTATTTGACATCTGGAAAAGGCAAAACTATGGAGACCATAAACAGGTTAGTGGTCGCCAGGGGCTAAAGGGGAGGGAGGGATGAACAGGCAGAGAATGGAGGATTTTTAGGGCAGTGAAACTACTCTGTATGATACTTCAACGGGGGATACATGTCATTACACACTTGTCAAAATTGTTAAAATGTACAATAGCAAGAGTGAACTCTAATATAATCTATGGACTCTGGCAATAATGATGTTTCTATGCAGGTTCATCAATTGAAGCAAAGGCACCACCCTGGTGGGATGTTGACAGTGGGGGAGGCTGTGCCTGTGAGGGGTAGGGGAGGGAACATATGGGACTCTCTGTTTCTTCTGCTCCATTTTGCTGTGAACTTAGCACTGCTCTAAATATTTTTTTTAATTTATTGCCAGAAAATAAAAAGAAGGAAGGAGGCAAGAATTTATTTATCTCACCAGGCAAGAAGGAAGAAATTAGAACAGTAAGAAAGCAGGTCTAGAAATGAGTAAATCACCACACATGTGCATATGGTACGTGATACATTTATATGGCCTCCCCTCAATTTTTTCTCTGATAGAAATGATGGAGTAACCATTCCAAACTGCAGAAAGCAAAAAAGCTGCTTCCATCAATTCCTTTAGCATAGAGGTTGACAAATGTTCTCTGTAAAGGGCCATACAATCAGTATCTGAGGCCCTGTGGACCTATGGCCTTTCTCGCCATGACTAGAATCTGCTGCAGAGCAGCCCATGGACAATGTGGTAAGTGGGTGTAGCTGAGTTTCAGTCTTGTGCAATTTTCACGTGTCGTGACATTTTTTCCCCCAACCATTTAAAAATGGAAAAACTAATCTTAGCTCTGGGGGCCTTCCACCTCTGAGGGACTCAAACTGCATGCTCTTTTCTGCTCCAACACTCAGTTCTCTTACATCAGCTCTTCGACATCAACAGCTCCTTCTATGTCAACTGGAGTCCAAAGACTCTCACTTCATCCATTTCCTTGCCAATATCTCCAATTCCCCTCTGCCACTCCCTTTCTATCAAAGCTTCCCTCCAGACCTCTCACCTCCAGGTCCATCTGCATGCCCACATTCTCTGAATTTGTGTTTTGAACTTCAAGCTCTCCAAGAAATGCACATGGCTGTTCAGAGTGACATCACTGTAAAGGTGTGGCTTTCCACTTAGCCCTGCCTCCCCGCCAGTCCTGTCTCCTTAGCCACCTGTCCTTTCGCCATAGGCAGTTGTTTCAAACCCCAAGAACTGTCCTCAAACCTTCAGTCGTACAACCTCCCCACAACCTCCCAGCAGAAGGTCTCACCATCTAGATTAGAGAGAAAACAAAAGTCATCACCAGCTAGCAACTCTCTGTTGCCTGCTGCCCAACACATCTGGAACGTTCCCATCTTCTCCACAAGAAAAGGGACCGGTCTGTCTGCACTGTGAATTCCTGGCCACCCCAGCTTATCAATGATTCATTTTCTCTCACTTTGTTATCTTGTTTCTCCAGTCTTTTTCTCTTCCTGGTGCTCTGCTCACTCCTTTGCAACAGCAATTAAACCTACTCAAGTTTTTCTTGAATAAAGCATTCTTTCCCCCTCTATCCCCTCCAGCTCCGTCTCTCCTCTCCTTCACAGCCAAGCCTCTCTATAAAATTCATCCACACTCATTTATCCTATTAACCACCCCCTACCCAATTCCCCTACCCACACCACTGACTCTCCTTCCTACCAATACATGGAAATTGCTCTTGCCAAGATCATCCACAATCAACTTCCTTGTCATCCATTGTTACCGGAGCTTTGGTAGAATTTTACAAGGCTGACTGTTCTCCTTTACATTTGAAGTCTTCTTCTTTTTAAGCTTTTATGTCAACACATTCTTCTAAATTTTCTGCTTCTTTTCCATCTACCGCTTCTTGGTTTCTATTGAAGGAGCCTCTTCCCCTGTCAGTTCATTATATGTTGTGTTTCTTCAGTGCTGACCTGAGTCCTCTTCTCTCTTTGCATACCCTCCCAGAGCAATCTCATGGGCACCCATGCCTTCAATTACTATTTAAATGATGAAAGCTCCCCAAAGCATAACTACAGTTCAAACCAGTTTTTTAAGCTTATACTTACCTATCCAACTGTCTTCCAGGCACCAGCTACTCAAACTCAACATGTCCAAAATTGAACTCATTTCCCCTCTGTGCTAATTCTGTTCTGTTTAGTCTTTTCCCTTTCTTCGAATACATCAGCTCCGTGTTAGTCAAGCAAGAACGTCATTTTTTCTTCTTCATCCTCATGTTATCCATTCCCATGGACTCTGCCTCACAGAGATCTCTCAGATCTTTCTGTGTCTCCATGTACAAGGCCATTAACCCTAGGTTAGGCTCTCACATCTCTCGTCTGAATTATTGCAATGGTCATATGATAAGGCCCCATGCTCTCACCTCCCTCCAATCCCTTCTCCACTCCACTACAAGAGGAGCTTCAAAAACAGTTTTCATCATGTCACCTTCCTGCTTCAGATGGCTCCCTACTCTTCTTGAAATAAAAATCTAAGCCCTTAAAATGTCCTATCACACCGTCGACAATCTGCCCCTTCTTCCTCCAGCCTGGTCATTTACCACTTCCTCCCTTTTAGGCTCTAGTTGTCAAAATCGAACTTCTTGGATATTATTTGCTCTTTCCTAGTGCCAGTGTTTGTGTATATTATTTCCTTTGTCTGAAATATGTCTCCTCTAACCCCTTTCCTAAAAACCCATGGCCAATGCCAGCTTCTATGTCATTTCCACTTGGAAGCTTTCTTGATATCACTAAATCTGGGGTGGGTCCCCTAAATATTGGCTCTGTCACTTATTAGTTGTTGGATTTTAGGCAAGTTACCTAATCTTCCTAGGCCTCTGTTTCTAAGGAGGTAATCCTAAGTACCAGCATCAGAGAGTTGTTGAAAGGATTAAATGATAACAGTGTCTAGGACATAGTAGTGCTAAATACAAGTTGGTCATTATCATAGTAATTAGTATTATTATTAGATCTTCTAGAAGCCTTACCATATTATAGTAGTTACCACACTGTTATGCATCTGCCCACTTACTTTTCTGTATCTTCCTCTAAACTTGTCATCTGGAAGAAAGATTGTATGCATCTTCTTCATTGTTGTAACTCCAGTACCTAGCATGTTGTAGGTAATCACTAGATGTCTTTGGATACATAAGTAAAGCTTAACACCTAAGAAAATATAAATTTTTACACGTAGAAATGTATGGAAGTGTAGAATGTATGAATTGGGCCCCTAATTATTTGACATTAGGTAGATATAAAGTCTTATCTAGAAAATTCAAAAAGACTTTCATCATTTGGTTAGCCATTTCTGCAAACTTTTAAAGAGAAAGAAATATCAACTTTCCTTCCTTATAGAAAGGTCTAAGATCCTTAGACCGCATAGCACAACTGAATGTAACATTATTAATGCAGAAATGCAGATGTGTGCAGATAGAGTGAAGAATTTCTAGGAGAAACATAATGCTGGGTGATTGAGAGAGATCCCTTGAGGGAGAAGAAAAGCTCCTCTTGCCAAAAAAATAAATTGAAACTCATTTGTAGAAATTCTGATCATTTAGAGCTCATCTTTCCAAGAAATATTCATAAAATATTACAAATTGAGAGCTAGCATTTTCAAGTTTCAGGGAATGTTAGCAGTTATCTTGATGAATAGAATGATCATTTGTCACTCATTTGACTCTGAACACTTGAGAAACAAGAGAATATACATCACTGAAAAATGTATTTCAGAACAGATTCACATCATGAAGGGAAAATAAT